CACTAGGGCCCCTTATGTTGTTGTTAGGTGCGGTGAAGTCAGTTTTCTACTCATAGTGACTCCATGTGGCAGAGTGGAACTGCCCCATAGGATTTCTAGGCTGTAATCCTTACAGGAGATCACCAGGTCTTTCTCACTGGAAGTCACTGGATGGGGTTCAAACTGCCAATCTTTCTGTTAGCAGCCAAGTGCTTTACTGTAGTGCCACCAGGGCTCCTTTGACAAATACAGAAGATTTAAAAATATCTATACTATGAGTTGTGTATGTATATATGCCATCAGTTGACAGCATTTCTTCATAAATTTGGAAGTCCTGTGAGCTAAAATGTAATCCAAAGTATTCATTGGGTAATGTTTCTTATACTGCACAACTCATTTAAAATTAAAGAAAAGTTGTTACGATTTTTAGAATTTTGAACTAATTGATCTTTGATATTGATGAAAGAGTTTTAATTCTCCTGTAATTCAGATTTCTGGCTTTCATGGAAGTTAGGGTAACCCACACAGGCTATTGCCCTTGGATGTCCTTTTTGAACCCTTGTAGGAACTTGTTCCCTGGAGTACCTTCAGGTCAAACAATAGCTTAGTAAACAGCTTAGTGGAGACACTTGCCTTAGGCATTGGGTTCTTTTGGAAGATTATCTATGGGCAGCCAGCCAACTTGAGAAGCAGGAACTCCAGGGTCTGACTGGAGGCTGTTTTTTAGTATGTATGTCATGTCTTTGGTGACTGTTTCTGTAACCTGTCTTGTGCTCTTTTAAAGAATTCAGTCGGTTTTGGGAAATGGACTCCAAAGGTCAGTCTGGGGTAAATCAGTAGTTATTTTAATTGTTTTCAAGACAATGCTGTATGAAAATCCTTTCTGACCACAGATTTGTTTATCAAGTCTGTTCCCACTCCTTTTTTCCATGGCAGTGGGGATAAGATTTAGTATAAGAATTTTTGAAGTTCTTTTCCTCTTCAGAACATTTCTGACACTCTAGTTGAAATGTTACCCCAGTTTGCAAATTTTATATTCAGTAAACTCCAATAAATTTCTATTATTGGCTTAATAAGATTTTTTTTTTTTTTTTAAAGCAATGTGTTAGATTTTGTATTCTACAAGGAATTGTTTGGTTGCTTTATTAAAGATCTTTCATTTTTAAAACATAGCTTTTAAAATACTTTTTTCCTGTAATATTCTAGGAAAATTTCTGTAAGTGAATACTTATTTATTTATTTTTTTTACTATCTCCCTGTCTAAAAATGGTGTTTTTTTTTTTTTTTTCCATGTAAGAATCCAAGCCATTTTATAGCTGGCTAAAGTTACAAGCTCAGATTTTGTTAAAAATCATTTAAAAAGTCTCTTGGACATTTAATTCTGATTTGATATGATACTCTTTTTTGACTGTTGAGAGGAAACATCATGTTCACTGTGTTATTTGTTGAAAATGTCTCTTAATATTGTCTAATTTATTACTTAAAAATATTTTGACACAGTAAAATATCTCCCTGTTGTTCTGCTGTAACATACTGCGATTGGTATTCAGCATGAACTTTGCAATATACCTTATTTCAGTCTTTTTTTTTTCTTTCCTGCTCTGATGGGAGTACTAGCTTCTGTATCTGTATTCCATTCTGTCTCAGTAGTATATTTCTTTCAATTAAAAAAATTATCCTTTTTTATTTTTTTAACTAGAAAAATAATTTAATTATAGTAGTTAAAACAGTATTTCAAATTGATAACCATTTAGAATTTGCATTTGTTATCACTGTAATATGTGTTGTCTGCATAAAATATTCAAATAAATCTATTACATGAGTGTTACTTGGAGCCCTGTTTGCGCAGTAGTTAAGAACTCCAGCTGCTAACCAAAATGTTGGCAGTTCGAATCTACCAGCCACTTCTTGGAAACCCCATGGGGCAATTCTCCTGTGTCCTACAGGGTCAGGTCGCTATGAGTTGGAATTGACTTGATGGCAGTGATTTTGGTTTTGGATTTTTCAGTGGATAGAAAAAATCATTCAAATTGAATCACTTTGTTAATATTGACTCAATTATTGATGTGTTTATAAGTAATAGTAGAAACAATAGTATCATGTATGATGAAAGGGTTAAGGTGAAATGTAATCCTACCAAAACAGTAAAGTTGTGTTTAATGGAAAAATAGACTGCTTCAGTTTTTAAACTTTAAAATTTAAATTATTTAAAATTCAATAACATTTAAATTTCAGTTTCTCGGTACCATTAGCCACATTTCAAGTGTTAATAGCCACATGTCTGTAGCAACTACTGTATTGGTTAGAGTTCCAGACCTTTTTTGGATACATTCTCTGGCTACATACATACATTCTGTACCTACAGAAGTATTTAGCTTCTGGTGCTTTTTGTAAGCACAGTGGGATTATACTGTCTGCTACTTTGCACGCATGGAGTCACCATGAGTCGGAATCAACTCGAAGGCAGCTAACAACAGCAACAGCGTTACTGTTCTACTTGTTCGTTTTACTTACCATGTGTCTTGGAGTTTAAGTCAATATATAGAAATCTGCCTCTTTCATTTTAATGCTTCCTAGATTAGACCAGATAGTATGGATGTGCCTTAGTGATTTAACTAGTCTCCAACTGATATGCTTTTTGGTTGCTTCCAGTACTATGCAACTGTATAGAATGCTTCATTGCTCTTTGTGCTCATTTGAGTATTTTTCTAAGATACACTCTGATGTAAAATTACTGTAATTTTAGAAGATTTTGCACATGTAAAATGTTGATACTCTCCAGTTGTCATCCAAAATGCATTTTACACGCCCATGAACAGTCAAGAAGAGTGTTTCTTTCCCTTACACCCTCATCCACTCCTGACATTTTCAACTTTTAAAAATTGTGCTGTTTTTTAGATTAAAAATCATTTTTAGTATGTATTTTCATGACTAGGAGATTGAACATTTTTTAATATTTTTATCATTTCTTAAGACAATATCTGTATTTCTTTCAAAAATAATGGAAAATATTATCTAAAGAAACATATACCCATACTGAGTACTTGCTTTCCTTGGTTCTCTTTTTACTGTTTAAAAACTCAGAAAAGGCTAGAATGACTTTAAGTACCTGTGGTCAAGTTGTTGTTCGGGTGGGTTATTTGCAATTTGCATATCTATGGACAAGAATCACTTGCATTCCTATTGTTAGGTGCCTTCAAGTCAGTTTCCACTCATAGTTAGTTACCCTATGAACAAGAGAATGAGACACTGCCGAGTCCTGCGCCATCCTCACAATGTTTAAGCCCGTTGCTGCATCCACTGTGTCAATCCATCTTATTGAGGGTCTTCCTCTTTTTTGCTGACCCTCTACCAAGCATGATGTCCTTCTCCAGGGACTGGTCCCTCCTGATAATATATCCAAAGTATGTAAGACTAAGTCTCGCCATCATTGATTCTAAGGAGCATTCTGGCTGTACTTCTTCCAAGACAGATTTGTTCGCTCTTCTAGCAGTCCATGGTATATTCAATAATCGTCACCAGTGCTATAATTCAAAGGCATCAATTCTTCTTCTGTCTTCCTTATTCATTTTCCAGCTTCCACATGAATATGAGGTGATTGAAAATATTATAGCTTGGATCAGTTGCACCTTAAAAAAGCGACGTCTTTGCTTTTAAAGACTAAAGATTTTAAACACTTTAAAGAGGGCTTTTGCATCAAGTTTGCCCAATGCAATACGTCGTTTGATTTCTTGACTGCTGCTTCCATGGGCGTTGATTGTGGATCCACGTAAAATGAAATCCATGACAATTCAATATTTTCTCCGTTTATCATGATGTTACTTATTGGTCCAGTTGTGAGGTTTTTTTTTTTCTTCTTTTTTAATTTTAAGGCGTAATCCATACTGGTGCAATGGTGGCGCAGTGGTGAAGAGCTCGGCTGCTAACCTTGTTCGAATCCACCAGCTACTCCTTGGAAACCCTACGGGGCAGTTCTACTCTGTCTTATGGGGTCGCTGTGAGTTGGAATCAACTGAAGGCTGTAGTCTTTGATCTTCATCAGTGAGTGCTTCAAGTCCTCTTTGCTTTCAGCAAGCAAGGTTGTGTCATCTGCATATCACAGGTTGTTAATGAGTCTTCCTCCAATCCTGATACCATGTTCTTCTTCACGTAGTCCAGCTTCTAGGATTCTTTGCTCAGCATACAGATTGAGTAAGAATGGTGAAATTGTTACCCATCTCAAGTTCGGGTTTGGGCCCGGTGCAGCTTTCACCAATAAAGACAGCACCAGGGTGAGGAACGAAGGATTTGTTCCTAGCTTGTGCACAAGCAGAGACAGAGAGGAGTGCAGTCCTCAGACTCTGCCTGTCTTGGGTTACTCAGATCCAGTTTTTTATACTCTGAGAAGGGAGGAAGTTGTTAACGAATCACACAACTACAAGTTTCTACGTTTTCCAACATACTGTAAACAAGCGTAGTACAATCCTAATCTCATTATAATGTTAGCATGTCTCTCTATTTTGTTAAGTCTCTGCCTAGGGGAGTGGTTTTACTATGTTAAGGAGTCCTTTTCTGACCTTTGGGCTCAAGGTTCTGGTGTAAGGGTTAACATTTGACCCTTGGCCTCTTGTAATTAATGTTCTGAAAGTTTAACAGAGAGTTGCTGTTTTGTTCTTAGCAAGCTTTATGTAAACTAGGCTCTTTCAGGATGTACTGATGTTATCAAAAGGATACAACCCTGACATACATCTTTCCTGATTTTAAACCATGTACTAGCCTCTTGTTCTGTTTGAATGATTGCTTTTTGGTCTATGTACAGGTTCCTTGTGAGCACAATTAAGTGTCCTGGAATTCCCATTCTTCACAATGTGTTATCCATAATTTGTTATGATCTGCATAGTTGAATGCCTTTGCATAGTCAATAAAACATTATTAGATTTCTACAGTTGACTGAGTTGTAAAACTGCTCCAAGACAATGAAAGGTTATCATCAGTAGTATTCCGTGAAACTGTCAGCAGCCTTTCAGTTTCTGTCCTGAGTGATAACACATTTGAAGCCTCTAGCCCATTGTGTGGTTTCTGTTGAAAGAATGAAAACAGGATAATTGAGAATTTACGGCGTTTCTGTACAACTGCAATCCCCTGGGTAGGGACTGCATCTAGATTCACCTTTGTTTTCATTGTGCCTTGCACAGTGCTTAGGAGCAGTTTTAATAGGTGATCAGTAATTACTTAATTGACTGGAAGTGTATTCAAGTATGTTCTAATTCTGCCCTATCTGGAGAAGCATGTATATCAGGAGAAATAGACTTATTTTGCTTACATTGTTATTTATCACATGTTTTCAGACTAGTATTAGAAAATATATTCTAAACATGCAAACTGGTGTCCTTACAAATGGCCATACTAGCTGTTTTCTTTCATAGTCCAAATTGTGTGCGTCTAGCTAAATAACAGTCTGCTACATTATAATAGCAAATGCGATTTTGTTGTGTGGAGACTTAAGGTGTGATTAGGGTCTGCTGTTTCTCACCCTGAATGGTGGTTTTTATACATGACAAAGCTGGCTAGCACGTTCATTTACATTACAGCAAGAATAATCCATTGCTTTTAAAACATCAGTTTTCATCTGCATTTTAGATTTAGTATTCAACAAAAATTTCTTATTAAATAACTGAAAAATATATGCAGGGAGACTGTAGACTGTAAAATGAAGGAGAAGCTTAGCTTTACAGTGGAGTCTGAGCTTGGGTGTAACCTAACTAGCTAGAGGATATGCAATTCCTGATTGACAGCAGGACCAGCATTATGCAGATTTTGTAGGAGAGAGCTGCAGCTCAGAAACAGTGATTAGGGGCTCTGTTAGGAATCTCTGCGTTCACCACGTCAGATCTTTAGGTTTGTATTTTTCTGTCTACTGGATTTGTAAACAAATAGCACAAAACAGTGCCTCTTTTGTTTTTATTAAAGTAATAACTGCAGTGTAGTTTCAGTCTATCAGCTAGGCATACATGTGCAGAAATCTGATATGCTCCCTAAATTAGCTAATTTTTAGCTGTGTTCCATGCTTATCTCCAGACCTCTGTGTGTTAAATCCTATCTCGAGCTGTTCTCTTTACATACAAGTGTGTTTTGTTTGTGCCTTCCTGTCTTCTTCAGTGAGAAGCTTTATGTAGGTCAGGCTTGGCTTAAGCAGATTTCCTGAACCTGCGTCAGCTTAAGCTGGAGGAATTTTAATAAACCCTCCCCTGTAGGCGTGGGCCTAAATGAGGCTAGCCTAGTTAAGCCTGATCTTTTTCTGTTTGTGAAAAGAGCTGAGCAGAGCTGGAGGCTGCATGGTGGTTTCAGAAAAGAACAATGGTAGGAAAGGCTAGATCTTCCAATTTTACCTTATCTGAAAAGCTTGATTTGCTAAAGCTTGTGAAGCCATATGTTAAAATTCTCGAAGAACACACTAATAAACATTCAGTAATAGTGGAAAAGAATAGATGTTGGGATATCATAGCAGTTAACTATAATGCAGTTGGAGTAGACCGCCCTCCTCGAACAGCGCAGGGCCTACGCACCCTTTACAAAAGGCTCAAAGAATATGCCAAACAGGAGCTATTGCAGCAAAAAGAGACCCAATCAGATTTTAAAAGCAATATTTCTGAGCCAACCAAGAAACTTATGGAGATGATTCCCCAGATTTCCAGTTTTTGCCTGGTAAGAGACAGGAACCACATACAAAGGTAAGCTTTATTTTATTTTGTTGTGGATAATTATGGCGCCTCCTATCTATTGGGCTTTGGTTTAGTTGTGATAGAGATATGCATAGTAAACATCTCCACAATAGGAGCTATGAATAATGTCTTTGTTTTGCATTCTTAAAAAAGAATAGTGAAGCTTTAAGGAATTTTTCTGCTGCATTTGATTTAAGCCACTTTTTGCTCTCTTCACCTCACCCTTCCCTTCCTCTGTAGTTTCTAAAAAGTAAAAGTTATCCGCTGCCGTAATAAACTTTTTAAGCTTTAAGTTACTTAAAAGTAGCTTTAGAGAGATACCTTTTTCTTATTTTATTTAAGATTACATTTCATTAGGATTTTCAATTTTATGTATAATTTATATAAAGTTAGAAGTTTCAAGGGAAATGGAACCATTGCTTTTGTAATCTTAACCATTTTATGAATGGTCTCTGTCAACACTTATTGAATACATGCATTGAACTAAAAAACTTAAGTCAGCAATTAAGTAAACTTAATAATGGCAAGATTGCATATTTTAAGTTGGTTTAAATTATTTTTACTAACTTAAAAGATGAGCACAAGGAAAGGGAGTTAATGCCTAATTAGGGACTCAGATTACTCAATAAAAGAAGTCTTTTTTTCCTTTTTAATGCTCATTTATGGCCTAGTTTTACTTTGATCATGGGTTATATAGGAAACAGTAAGCTTTCTCATACTGCTTTGCAAAGATATCAAACTATTAATTTTAGTATACTCATAAGAGGGACTGGGTTCTTTTAGGGTTTGAAATAGATTTTTGGTTAAATTTGATCTCTGTAAATACTTGCCTGGGAATCTTCAAAACTGTTATTTTGCTATTGAAATCTTAACTCCTGGCAAAAGATAAAAATGGCAGCTACCTTCTTGTTCTGAACCATTTGGGTAAATTACAAACCCACACATTGTAACCTTCTTGTTAGTTGAGGAGCCTCTCAAACAAAAGCTTTACCATGCACTTTCCTATTGGTGGAAGAGCCATTATAGAAGCAAAATATTTGATTACCTGTGAAGTCCCTTTGAAGTTTGGAGGGAAACAGGCAAAAACAAAACAAACCCCAAAACTTGTTAGCCAAACTTATCTATTATTTTGGTAATTTACCAGGGAAATATCTTTGAGCCTAGCTTCTTCACTGCTTATTTTTAGCTGATAACACGTAAAAAATATCACCAGTGGGAATCTCAGGCATGGTTACGCAGAGGATTATTAATTCATGGAGCCACTGGTTAAAATGTTCACTGATGACAAATCCTAATGTGCCACATGTCTAAAAAAAGCTCCATAGTAAAATTGTTTTTATTCTGTGCTATTTATTAAAAAATGTTTTCCCTGGAACCCTAGAAGGAAAAAAAGTCTTGCATTACAGGTATAAAGTGCTATGTATCTTGGGGATATTGAAAACTATAGGTAGGAACTATAGGTTTAGTTAGTTGCATATTTTAAAAATAATAGTGATAGTGTGAAAGGGAAATAATAAATATACAAGTGTCTTTACATTTTGGGCGGTTAGAATATACATATTCTATGAGATCTTTTGGGTCACCATGATTTCTCTGATGAAATGGTTTCATTTATGCATTTCTATACCTACTATTTAAACACCATCAACTTTTCAGACTTCAAGTGTCACTTAGTTATTTATGCTAGTATAGTTACACTGCCATTTTCTCTGTATTTAGCTTTTTAATTTAATTATGTATTTAATGTGCTTATACTTGTCTGATTGACATCATCTTGAATCTTAATTATCTCAGAAGTTTATAATTATTCTATAGGCTTAATTATGCTTCGTAATTATGTTCTCCAAACTCCTTTCTTAATAGGAAGATATTACTGCTTATATTGTTTAACATATTTAAAAATATACCTCTTTTGTAAGGCTGTTTATCTGTACAATTTACATTGATTTATATCTTTATTATCCCCACTCTCTAGTGTCAGATTATACTTAGTTTTTGTAGTCTCTTTAGTTCTCAGAGTTCAGACTCATAGATTTCAGAAGTCCTTCCCTGTTACCATTTTTGTGACTTTCTAAAGCATTTTCCTCAACTTTGTTATACCTTACTTTTAATGTTTTAATCAAAATGGAATGGAATATTCCAGAGATAAGGCATAGTATTAATTTACATGGGAATATAATGTCTGTGTTTGTGAGTCATAGTCTTTATTATACATACTAATTTGAAATAGTAATTATGTGGATTTTTAAAACTTAATTTTCATATGTAATTTTAACCTTTTCCCATGTCTGTTTTTAGAAGAGATGTTACTAGGAGCAAAACCTTACTAATTTTAATTACATTTATATTCCATTGTCTTTAAAAAAATCATAAAATGATAAAAAAGATAAAAATTAAAATGAAGGAATTTATATAATCTATAAATCTTGTTGAATTATTTCATTTGTATATCTTTGACAAATGTCTGATACTTCTGACAATTTAATGCTGTTACTAAGTGAGCTTTAGGGAGTTTTAATTTTTTTCCCTTAGGTTCTACTTGAACTTACTCCAGCATTTTAATCCATGTAGAATGCATTATTAACTATGTTATTTATCGTTTGTAAAATGTTCTCTAAATAATGTTAAGAATATTTCCATTAATGATCCCATAATCTCCTTCCCCTCTATACTTTTATTTTTAAGTTAGGCAGAAGCTGTATAATTAAAAAAAAAAAAAAAAAAAAACGCACTCAAGAAACAAGATTATTTCTTAATTAACAGCTAAATGATACACACAAAATTATTTAAAAAGTACAGTAGGATTATAAGGTACATTGAGTTTATAATGTCATAATAAATATTATTATATCAAAGGTTAGCAGTAAAATTGTAGTTGCCACTAATAGAAATGCATATTTTATGGAAATTACATGTAAATACTATAAACTTCCAATATATTGGATATAACCAGTTCCAGTCCAGTCAGTTCTAACTCATGGTGACCCCAAGTATGTCAGAGTAGAACTGTGCTTCATAGGGTTTTTATTTATTAATTTTTCAGAAATAGACGACCAGGCCTCTTCTCTGAGGTGCCTCTGGGTGAACTGGAACCTTCAACCTTTAGGTAGCAGCTGAGCATGTTAACCATTTGCACAATGGACTCCATATTGTTACGTTGTTGTTGTGTGCCGTTGAGTCGATTCCAGTGCATTACGTTCCTATAGGACAGAGTAGATCTGCCCCATACAGTTTCCTAGGCTGTAATCTTTATGGGAGCTAATCTCCAGGTGGCAGCTGAGCACTTAAACATTGTGCCACCAGGGCTTCTATATTGTATGTAAACCAAAAAGAAAAAAACAAACTGGTTGCCTTCGAGTCAATTCTGACTCACAGCCACCTTATAGGACAGAGTAGAACTGCTGCATAGGGTTTCCAAGGAACAGCTGGTGGATTCGAACTGCCAACCTTTTGGTTAGCAGCCATAGCTCGCCATAGCTCTTAACCACTGCACCACCAGGCCGTTTAAAAACATTTCAATTAAAAAGAAATTACATTTATTCACTTATTCAATCATTCAACACATGATGAGCACCGTTCCCAGTACAGTATTATGCTAGGCAGTGGTGAACAAAAACGCTTGCTCTTGTGAACAGGATAGGTAAAGGGGAAATGTCTTATCATTGAAAGTAGGATAGTTAGGATAACCACATAATAGTTAGTTGTGTGCTTTTGAGTTGATTCCGAATCACAGTGATCCTATATGACAGAGTAGAACTGCACCATAGGGCAGTTTTTGTAAAGCCGTGCAAAGCCTTGATTTTTCTTTTGACAAATGGAGAAATCAATACCTCCTATAAATGGCCTGGAGCAGCCCTCCTAGAGCTCAAGGGATGGGCATAAGACTTGTTTAGGGATAAACTTGACTAAAAGGACTTTGGTAATTTTAGATTAGTCCAGGAGAGCAGAACAGGAAGTCTAGGGCTCAGGTGTGATGAGAGCAAGGCCCAGGTGCATTAAACTGCCTTTTGCATCATTTGGAGCCCTGGTGGACTAGTGGTTAAGAGCTTGGCTGCTAACCAGAAGGTCGGCTATTTCGAATCCAGCAACCAGCTGCTCCTTGGAAACTCTATGGGGCAGTTCTACTTTGTGCTATAGGGTCGCTATGAGTAGGAATGAACTTGACGGCAACGAGTTTGGGTTTTACATCATTTAGGAACCTCAGGGTTGTAGGGACAGTTGATGTCTCTTTAAGAGCGTTGAAAATGGTTTCTCTTTTTTATTTGCCTCCTTGGCTTTTGTAATTATTAGGGCTGTCTTTTTAACAGCCCAACTTTAAAGTTAAGGATCTTTTTACATATGGAGACATATATATATATATATCATTTAAATCCTAGCCTTAATTACTTTAATTTGTTATTTCAAGGGTTAAAGATTTTTGTTTCCTAATTTTCTTCATAGCTTTAAAGCTTAATAATTCAATGTATATTAAATATATTATGCTATAAATATACTTTTGTCTTCATTTGATTTACATTTTATAATGCTTTTTTGTGTGCTGTAGTGCAAACTTGGATGAGGAAGCACAGGCTGGTACCAGTTCACTACAGGTAATGTTGGATCACCAACCTGTTGCTATTACAGTGGAGGTGAAGCAAGAAGAAGACATTAAACCACCACCTCCACTGGCTTTAAATTCTCAACAGAGTGATACTTTAGAGCAAAGAGAAGAACATGACTTAGTACACGTTATGGAAAGATCTTTGTCGCCATCTCTGTCCTCTGTTGATATGAGAATGACATTGTCTCCATCTTCTATTCCAAGGAGAGATGGATTTTTTCGGCACGAGAGTGGAGAACACTTTAGATCAATATTAGGGTATGATCCTCAGATTCTGCAAATGCTGAAAGAGGAGCATCAGATAATTTTAGAAAATCAAAAAAATTTTGGATTATATGTTCAGGAGAAGAGGGATGGATTGAAAAGAAGGCAACAGCTAGAGGAAGAACTGTTAAGAGCAAAAATTGAAGTGGAGAAGCTGAAAGCAATTCGCTTACGGCATGATCTGCCAGAATATAATGGTCTCTAAAATTTTTTTTGAATCTTGCACTTTAATCATTTTAATTTTGGCCAAAATTTCATTCAGAATATCCTCAAGCAAAATGCGTATTCTTGAAAAATGTTGTTACTCTCTATTATGGAAAAACTTTGTTGTTATTAAATTTTCCTTTGAGATACACTCAGATTTACTTATTGGTTAGCATGATTATATATTTCATTCTCTTCCCCCCATTTTTTTTCTAAGAAGTTTGTTGGCCTTATAAAAAGATAATTTCTTCTGCTCATTAAAATATAGCATGTTGTTGTTGTTGTGTGTCCTTGAGTTGACTGCTACTCATAGCGACCCTATAGGACACAGTAGAACTGCCCCGTAGGATTTCCTAGACTGTAATCTTTATTGGGAGCAAATCACCAGATCTCTTCTCCCACAGAGCAGCTGGTAGGTTCGAACCGCCGACCTTTCGGTTAACAGCCAAGCGCTTAACCATTGCACCATCAGGGTACCTTAAAAATAGACACACATACATTTACAAACACATACATATTCTTTCTAAGTTCTGAGTCTTCAGCATTTTAAATTAGAGCTTTGAAAACTAAGTCAGTCTGATTTAAAAGCTATACTAACCTAATAGCAAGAAGTTTGTCTAAATACCTTTGTTTTTTTTTTTAAATATGCTTTCATCTTTGGAAGCAGTAGTCCTAGGATTTTTAGAGATGGAAGGTATTTGGAAACCACATTTTTCCTCAACTTTTCAATTGAAAGGTAGCAAAACTAAGATCCAGAGAAAAGTCAGTGATTTATAATGGAATAACAAAGCTATTTATGGCAGAGGCAAGACCAGCACTCAGCATTTCTGGCTATGTGTAATTTTCCCACCTACTGTTCCATAGAGGAGCCCTTGGTGGTGCAGTGCTTAAAGAGCTTGGCTGCTAACCAAAAGGTCAGCAGTTTGAATCTACAGGCTGCTCCTTGGAAACCCTATAGGGCAGTTCTTTTCTGCCCTGTAGGGTTGCTATGAGGCAGAATCAACTCAACGGCAACAGGTTTGGTTTGGTTTTTTATTCCATAGAAGCAAAAATCCTCTAAAATATTCTCCAGATTTAAAAACTAGAAGCATTTATTTTATTAAAATTGCTTTAAAAGACTGTTAGGTTATGAAATCAGGGGAATTGTATCAATTTCCCCCGTCTTCCCTTTTTTGACCAGGAAAATAAGATGCGATACTCTAATGGAGCTATGTTATACTTTGGCTATATATATGATTTTAAAATATGTCTTAATTTAAATGACATTGTAAAGATTTCTTTCACAGTAAAAATCAGAATGGACAAAATTAATTTACTTAGAAAATTTCCAAAAACATTCTATATATGTTTATAATTTATGATACAGTCTATTGTATTTACATTTATTTTTGTAAATAGTGCAATTTTGGTATTTGTGGAAATAAATAAAACCTTGACTCTTAAAATACACAACTTTATGTTAAATCTTTAGTATGTATATTCCTTAAGGATTTCTATTTTTGCTGGGGCTTCATTGAGAAGGGATTTTAAGCTAAGTTTTATAAAAGGGTAAGTAGAATTTCAGCAAAGGAGCCCTGGTGGCACAACTGTTAAGGTTGGGGGTTTGAACCCACCAGACAGCTTTGTAGGAGAAAGATCTAGTGATCTGCATCTGTAAAGATTACAGGCTAGAAACTTTATGGAGCATTTCTTCTGTGTCACACAGAGTTGCTATGAGTTGAAAACCTACTCAACAGCACCTAACAACAGAATTTCAGCAATACAGGAAGAAAGGGTGTTTGAAGTCAGAGTGAGCAATATAAAAAAAGGCAGTGAGCATTATAAAAAAAGGCAGAGAGAATGGGGAAAGTGGATCAGGGTGTACAAGCAAAATACAGTGCTCAGCCAGGTGATGTGAGTGTGGAGGGTGCCAAGCAAGGCTGTGGTAACCTAGACGAGGACATCTCCCATGACTAAATGAGGTACTATTTAGCTCTAGCTGAATTTTTATATGCAGGAATAAGCTAGAAATCGGAATTTGTTGTTTAATTTTCTAATTCTTAAATGTTTAACATGTTTTAAAAATACTAGACAGACAAAATATGGGCCTCATTCAGCCAGTTGGCTTCCAGTTTTGTGACCTTGGAATACAGAAATGGTTCTCAAAGTGTAGATCCTGACCAGCAACCTCAGCATCACTTGATAACTGTTTAGGTATGTAAATTCTCAGGCCTCACCCCTTTCCTGCTGAATCATACACTAGGGGTGGGATTCAGTAATCTGTGTTTTAACAAACTCTCTCAATTCTGGTGCAAGATAAAATTTGAAAACCACTGGAAAAAAGTATTTTGGAACATAACTTGGTGCCGAAATCATTATTAGATTCTCAGATTTTTTATTGAAAAGAAGAATGGGTGAAGGTGAATTGAGGGGTATAAATTTGAAAGTTGGTTGGTGCTAGATTATGGATTACATTAAATGCTGTTTTTAAAGTCACATTTAACTGAATATACAAAGGGAAACCATTGAAAACTTTTGATAAGCAGAAGGATATGATTAGATGCATGATTTAGGAAGAGTGTTATAGCAGCACTTGGAGGTGGACATTATAGTGAGAAAATTAAAAATTTCCATAGAAGTAGAAAAAAACAAAAAGAAAGTTGACTTTTATGGTACTGTTTTAGCTTGTTGACTGCCTAATTGGTTAAATTAAAAGGAAGGCATTTTATATCTGTTATTAGAGTTAAAATTTTTATTATAAAAATGCCTTGAATATGTAATATGTATCTATCATTTTTTATCTTCTCTCTTTAATCTGTCTTATGACTTCTCTTTGAGTCTAATGAATTTTATAATTCTAATTTGAGAAGATGTTTTACAATATAATTCTATTAAATACATCTTTATAGTAGTAAGCTTTAACTTGAAAGCAAATTACTGTATAAAATGTAATTCATATTAACAATCTCAGCATGCTACTATGAATTGATAATGAATGTTCGTTTTGAATATTGACTCTGTATAGCTAAGCCAGGGATTTTCAAAGTATGTTCTATGGAACATTAATTCTGTGAGCTATTTCTAGGAAGGAATTTAGTGTTGAAAAAAATGTATCTGTTTTGGTAGTTAAGTTCTAAAATCAGTGTGGAAGGTAAAAATTATGTATAGATAAAATTGCCCTTAAAAATTCTCTTGCTGCCCACAAAATAATGCAAACATAGTCTGCTACAGTCATATTTTTCTCCAGTATTGTTCAAGATTGTTGTTTCTTTGGTTGTGTTAGGTGACATAGTTTGCTAGCATTAGAGGTTGTGTAGAATTTTTTAAAAACTTATTTTTACATATTTTTAAACACCAGAATTACGCTCATTGAAGTGAATTTATAGCAGCATATGATTCTGCTTCATTGTATAATTCTCCCTCCCCTACAACATTCCGTTATATAGGTGTATAGTTTATGAGAATTTCTGTATAAAGAAAACTACTTATTTGACAGTAGATCCCTTTTTGAAGGCAATGTTCATTATCATCCTGCAGAATATCTTAGAGAAGTTCGGAGCTAAAGCTTTTTTCTTTTATTTTTGATATTGACACTTGAGTTTGGGGAATAACTTAGCCAGCTCACATTAGCAGTCTTTGTTGAGGACAGGTTTCACTAATGGGAATGTAAAGGGGAAAATTGTACTGGAAGTAGTCGAACACAGTGAAGCCACCACACAGCTTGCATATCATAGAGAACTGGCTGGGGCTATGAGGTTTACCTATAAAATGCGATGCTGGGAAAACATCATAGAGAAGAGTGATTTTACTTTTTAAAAAGTAGACTTGATTCTCTAAAAATACAAAGAATTTGAAAAGATTTTTTTCATCCAATGTATCAGTCATTTAAATAGTGAATAGGCTATTTTTGCCATCTTTCTGTCTTCCATATATACATGTGAACGTAAATGAATACATGGTTATTATTATAACTTGTGGTATTCTAAACTAAGTTTGTTAAAGTAGCATCCCAAGGAAAGTTAAAGCTCTTTCACTTCTAACAAATGCCTGAAGATTTGTTACAGTATTCAATTTAAGTACTTTTCTTTTTGTATAACGAGACATCAGCTTGGTGTTATTTCCAGGGCTTTGGACCTGTCCATTCCAGTTTGAACCCCTGCTGAGAATTTGCATTTCCACCCCAGATACACTGAATCAGAATCTACATTTTAACAAGATCCTCCAGTTGATTCTTACATATAACTTCTTGGGATCTTGTTAGAAATGCCAGTTTTCAGCAAGGAATTTTTTAGAAATGCAAACTCTCAGCAGGGGTTTGAACCTGAATGAGCCTGTTGGAAGCTCTGGTTATTTCATTTTTGAAAAATTTATCTACCCTATTACATCTTGACTTATGTGAAAATGCTTAAAATATGAATCATTTTCCATGTTCCATTTTTCAGAGTAATGTCAAATTTTAAATAGACATGTTTAAATAATTCAGAGGGTAATAATTTGTATATATACTGTAGATAATAGTGGTTAAGTGCTTTGTTAATACATGTCCTTTTAAATACAAGGTAAAGTAATACATTGTATTGATTTGTATACTTTTTGTGTGCCATAAATCAAAGAATTCAGTACTATAGAGGTAAAAAATTTTGATTGGGCATTATTGAAATATATTTATTTGGAAGATTGTATTATAATAAATGCCAAATGCACTATATCTAAATATGTTTCTTTTTTCCAAATGTTAAGACTGGCAGATTCTCAAAATCAGTTAAATGTTTGATTGTGAATTTGCTTGTAAATACTTTTAAAAATTAGATAAAATACGGTTATAGTACTTAAAATACAAGAGTAAATTCTTAAAATTTGCGAACTGTCATGCTAAATCTGTATACGATTTTGAGAAATTAGTTCACTATATTATATATTTCTTGAATTAGTTGATTAAAACTAGTAGCTATAATTTGAATTCATATTACTTATTTTTAATTTTCAATTGCTTTGTAGATAGTAGAAAGCAAAATAAATAAAAATAACCACTCAACTCCACTCAAACAATTTAAACAGTAAAATGGATACGAATTAGAATTACTTTGTTAATAGGTTTCTGGCGTTTTAAAATCATAGGTGAATTCACCTCTGTTACAAAGATTTTTTCCTCCAACATTTTATTAAGAAACTCTTCAAATGTATAGAAGAAGCTGAAAGAATTTTATAGTTCATATAGTTCATAACGTTCATACCTGCCACCGAGATTCTGCAATTAATATTTTGCTGTATTTGCTTTATTACATATTTGTCCATCTAGCCATCTGTCCCTCCACCTTTTATAAATTTTATTTTATTTTTGGTGAAAATATACAAATCATACTCTCATTTAACAATTTCTACACACATTGTATACTGGTAT